AACGAGCCTAAGCAGAAGCGCCAGCGTGTTGCTGCTCCGCCTGCGCCCCATGCGACTCCTCGCCCCCCTAAGACCCCTAAGAAGACCCCAGCCAAGAAATCCACTGCCGCGGATAGTGGCAGGAACAAGGTGTCCTTGTCAAATTGGCCGGACACTTGGGCTAGGCAGATCGGGGGCATTGGGGTTTGCATTCGCTTTCATACGGACAAATGTGGCAACAAGAACTGCCGGTTCTCGCACAAGTGTCCCATTCTGAATGCGGCGGGCACTCCTTGTGGGGCGGCGCACTCTGCTCTTGCGCACTCGGGGGCTCCGCATTGATGTGATAAGGCGGAGGACTGCATGGACTCTGATCCTCCGCCTGATTTTTCAGTTTTGGATCATGACTGTGTGCATACGGCTGAAACTTTTGCTCGTTCCCTACTTGATCTATCGGAGCCTGTTTCGTGTGAACACGTTCAACAGCTTGCAGATTTGCTCTTGCAGGAAACACCTGATTTGGATGAACGTTTTTCCTCTGGCGGCTCAGTGTCTGCTGGAGTCTATTTTCGCCATAAAACGGGTCTACGCAAGGCCTGTACTTCGCATCCGCTCTCGGTGAAGGTGATCAATTCTTTTATAAATTTCTTGTCGCCCAATTTTGTGCACTCATCATTCGTGCTGATTGATGGAATTGCTTCTGAGGCGCATTGCGATGTTCTTAACTCCCACTTGCCAAACATTGTCATTCCGGTGACTCCTTTCCAAGGTGGTGACCTTCGCGTGGAGTGCTCGCTGGGAGCTGATTTCATCACACGTGATGGTGTTCAGGTGCCGGCTGTCCGCCTTCCTGTGAGTAGAGGCCCGGCTGCTTTCTCCGCGTCACAGTGCATGCATGAAGTTCTGCCTTTTCAGGGTCGTCGTCTTGTGGTTGCAGCGTACACTCTGAAGGCATGTGCTCGCTTGTCGGCTGAGCATTCTTCCAAGCTGCGCCAACTTGGATTTCGGCTCCCTTCACAAGCTGAACTTGATCAAGCCACGCTTTTCACGCCGCGCATGTTGTGCCTGTCTGATGTTCAGACTGCGTGCCTTCCTTCTGTTGCTGGTACTCTGTCTGCTGATTCACAGGCATGTTACGCCTCGACAGGAGGGATTTCATGCCCTCGCCCATGTGAACAGGGGAATGTATTGGCTGAGCAGGATGTGCCTCAGCATCTTTTTCATGGACGATTTTTCCTCGACTTGTGTTCTGGTGCTGAGGCCCCTGTCACTAAGGCAATGCGCGCACTCAGGGCTGATTGCTTCGAGCCCCTCGACATTATCCATGGTGAGCATTGCAACCTCTTGAGTGACGACTGCTTCGACTGTCTTCTGGGGTTGTCGGCTAGCGGGTTGATCGGTGCTGCCTTGGCTGCCCCTCCTTGTGGAGAATTCAGCATGCTCAAGATGCGTTCGGGCGGTCCTGCCCCGGTTAGGACGCCACAGGAGCCTGATGGATGCGCTTCGAACACTTGGTCTCAGGCCATCAAGGCTCAGGACAGTGCGCTCTTACATGACCGATGTCATGAACTTCTGTCTAGGATTGCTGCAGCTGGAGGTTGCATCATTTTCGAACAGCCGCCCTCCTCTATGGCATACTTGAATTTAAAAGTTCAACAGTGGCTCCGTTCGACTACCCCGTATGTCATCCAGGTTGCGGCTTGCATGCACGAACTAGATGTTGCCAAACATTGGATGTTCTCATCTAATCGCCCCGGCCTTCTGGAGTTGGCCTCAACATGTTGCCACCCCTCAGGCACTCACAGACCGATTTGGGGGAAACGGGCGGCTGATGGTTCGTTTTTCAGCAGGTTGACGGCGCAGTACCCTAAAACCCTTGCTGATGCCCTGGCTGAGTTTCTGATTGGTTTTACCACTCAAGAGAATCGCTTGATTCCTTTGGCTGACTGGAGATCTGCTCTTCCCAAAACCCCGCTTTGGCCCCAGCCGTGTTCTAGGGTTGAAGATGGTGCGGGAATTCGCAGTTCGGCCTTCTGGATTACGCCTCAGTCCAAGGATCATTTGAGGCGACTTCGCAAGACTTGGACGACTCGTCTTTGTCAGGATCGTCTGTGCTTGCGGCTTGCGCATTGCTGATTCACTCCGTAAAGGGGTCGATCAGCCTCCGGTTGCTCCGCCCGAGCTGCAGCCATTCCTCGACGACCTCTGTGATTTCTGTGGTGTGCTGTCTCAGGATCGTCAGGACTTCCTAGCGATTGAGCCAGGTCAGCCCTTCCGACTCAACGTCTTAGAGCATCTGCTTCGAGCTTGCGATGATTCTGAGGCTGATCTCT